GGGCTGGATTTAATTCAGTGACATTTGAATTTTATAGCTATACACTTGCAGCTATAAAAACCACCTTTATTATTAAAATTCCTATAGGAAAAATAACTTGGTAATTGTGAGTCTGAAACTCCCTGGTCCCTAGCCTGCTTTTCCCCATTGGCACAGTTGTTTTTATTACACAGTGAAGCAACTATTGTGTTATAACAGGACAGATTATATTTTTAACAAGTGCCCTGAGGGTTCTGAGGCAGCCTGTCCACAGACATGGATTCAGGATCCTCAGTTACAAGCACTAGACTTCAAGTCAAAGTTCTCAGGTCTAGTCAGCCCTACACTCTGCTTGCTCTCTGGCCTTGGACAAACCATGAGGCTCACTTTCTGGGCCTTAGTTCCTTATCTATATAAAAGATAAAAAGTCTTTGCCTGCCTCTCAAAATTGCTATGAAAAAAAATTCAGATAATGCACACAGCATACCATATGCACACATACATTTATTAACTGGATATTTATTGAGGACCTACTGTGTGCCAGGACTAGGTGGTAGGACTAAAGAAGAGAAGGAGATGTTATCCTGCTTTTATGGAGGTTACATGGTGAGTAGGAGGCAGAGAACACACAAGTAAAGTAAATTCTGATAGTTCTAGTGCTTATAAAATTGGCGATGAGATACATAATGACTGGCAGGGGAGTGAAGGGGTGCATGTTTTAGATGGGGTGGATAGGAAAGACCCCATTAGGAGGTTATATTTGTACAGAGACATGAATGGCCAAAAGGATAGAGCTGTGCAAATGTCTGTAGGTGGAAGATGTCAGGGAAAGGGAACAGCCAGGACAAACATCTGATATTATGGAGGAAGAGACAGACGGCCAGTGTGGCTGAAGCACAGTGATTGATGGGAGTGTGACCTTAGGAAGCCAGGATAGGTGCAGAGCTGGGCCTGAACTCATAGGGAATGGTTGGTCATAAAAAGGAATTTGAAATTATGAGCTAATTGCACTGAAAAAGCACTGGATACTTTAGGCAGAGAAGTTCTATGATCTGATCCATGTTTTAGAAAGATGACTCTGGCTGTCTTGAGAGGAGGCTGTAGTGGAAGAAGAGTAGCAGAAGCAAGGAGGCCAGTTAGGCTCTGCAGTAGTCCGGCCAGAGTAAGTACAGGTTTGATTACAGCAGCAGGGAAGCCAGTTATATTTAGGGTATATTTGGGGTTAGAGCCAGGGAGCTTCTTATGAGTAGGGAGGTAAGGTGAATATGCTGATATTAATTCAGTGTCATTTCAGCTGCCTTCTCCCATATCATCCCGTATTATTCCCAGGAACCACCATAATGCAAAACCACTCATTTCATATCAGGTCATACATAATTTCAAATATATGGAATATAAGTGAAATAAGGGGAAAAAACCCTAAACAGCCAAAATAGATATGGAGAGCCTATGCATATATTAAAGGCAAGCTCCTCAAAACTTTGCTCAAGTTACTGACCCTAAACATATTTCTAATGAGTTTAATATTCTATGCCTAGAAGGCAATTAAAAGGGGAGAGGAAAAAATAAAAATAATAAATTAGTCAAAATTAAGTTTCATAATACACTATGTTGGTGAGGATGTTGGGAAATAAGCACTTTCTTTTTTAAAAATATATTTTATTAATTTCAGAGAGAGGAAGGGAGAGAAAGAGAGAGAGATAGAAACATCAATGTTGAGAGAGAGTCATTGATCGGCTGCCTCCTGCACACCCCCTGCTGGGGATTGAGCCCGAAACCCAGGTGAGTGCCCTGACCTGGAATCAAACCATAATCTGGATCATAAGTCAATGCTCAACTGCTGAGTCAGGCTGGCTGGGCAAGAAATAAGCACTTTCATATACTATTGGAGAGAGTGCATACTGGAACTCTCTTTTTAAGAATGCATCCCTAGAACTTCAGGCTGCTCAGCTGATGACCAGATGTTGGGGAGAAAGATGGTCATTTGCCTCTGTTAATTTCAGAGGCCTTCTTCTCTTTAGACAGTCTCCCAAGATGCTGGATGTAAGAGGCATCCCAGTAGCCAATGCTTACCAAAGCAAACCTGAAAGGAATGAAAGAGAAGGTCATGTGAGTAGAGATTAATAGGTTCCAGCCAGGGTCTATGGCCAAGTTCCCAGGAACCAGGTCAAGGATCCAGAAGAAAATAATCAACCTCAAAGGCCAACAAATGCACATTCAGTGCTCCATTACTTATTTAAACAGACTCACCCATCCCTCTTCATGTTCATGTACACAGCCCATCACGTTTCCCACAGTGGCCAGTTGTCACCTCTGTCTTTCTCACATGGCTAATTCCTTTCCCAGAGCCCTAAATAGTAAAGAACCCTCACCCCATACTTTATATAGGAGACTTGGAACCATTTGTCATGCAGCAAACTTACTGGCCAACACTTTTAGTCAGATAACTGCTCAACCAAAAAGTTCTGAGGAAGGGAGATTTAGAAATATTTGGCAAGCATCTCTAATAACAACCTAAGTACTTCTGATGCTGTATTAGGTGCCAGTCATTTCACGTCCCTTATGACTGTCATAGTGAGGAAACCTGGAACAAGTAAACAAAACAACTACAATTGGAAATTGCTGCGGTAGCCTAAACTCTCTCTATCCCAGTCTACAACACAAGGAGTTAGAGTTTTAGTTCCAAGCCTGGGAGCTGAAGCCTGGGTTGCACTGGAGGTCTTCCGGTGACTGCGAGTGGAAGCAGCCTTAGGACCACTGTCGAGTCATCAGAGGAACCTGGATCCCTAAGGCCTGGAGCCTGCTCTACCTCTCAAGAGACCTTTTGTGAGATAAATGCCTCCACCATTTGGGGGGAAAAGGAAGTGGAGAAAAAAGCAAGACAGCCTCTAACATGAGGCTGTGTGGCAGTGCAAGCAGGAATAAAGGCTGAAGAGGTGATGGTGAAAGCAAAAAGCATAAAAAGCAGAGAGAAGACTCCAAAGGGCACTGTTGAATTAGTTTTCTTCACAATTAATGAAGGCACAGAAGAACAAATACCATTGTAGAATGTCCTGCCTGTAAAAGGGATGAAACAAAATTAAATCCATTTGACTTACACAAAATTAAGCTTTATGTATTTGAAAATGATCTCATGTGGACCCTTATTTCCCCAAGGTGCTCAGTAAATGAATTTTTCCTTGTATTTTGTGGTCCGGTACGTGAAGTCCTGGGGTTTCCCCCCAGCTGATAAAGGCCTATTAAAATGTAATGTGCACAGAGTTTCCACTTCCAGGAAGATGGCATAGGTATACTTTCCCTATTCTTCCTGCTAAACACAGCTAAAATCCATAGACACGATATTCAAAACAAACATAAGAAGACTGAAATGTGGAAATGGGAAGCAGACTGACTAGGGATCTTGGGAACTAAGGGACAGCACAATTGTGACTTCCTCGAGTTTTCTTTTTGCCTTTGAGATCCCAGCCTTGGAGCTGACCAGGCCAGCCACCAGGAAGTGCAATGGGAACCGGGAGAAAGCAGCCCCACCCCTGTCCTGTTCTCTCTAGGCAAAGCATCGGGAGAAGGCAGTCGAGCAAGACAGAAAACTTTGGAAAATACCATTCTACTTCACACACCACAGAAAACACTGTAGTCCACTGCCACCCACAGCAGCAGAGGCTGAGTGGGGAGCAAAGGCTCCGCCTAGTCAGACTAAAAGGGGTTCCCAACACCCTCATGGTTGCCACATCAGAGAAGACAGATTTCATCCCATCCAGGGCATAATGTGGAGACCATACCCTATGATGCCTTCTTTACCCTCTCCTGGAGAGGCAGGACTTGCCACCACCACCCAGCGGTAATAAGGGTCTTCCCACCATGGCATCAATGGAGACCAAGCAGGGAGCCAGAAGCGCCACTCCTGCCCAGCGGTAATGCAGATCCCCCACTTAGGTGACAAAGGAGGCGAAGTAGAGAACCTGGACCTCTACCTTCACTGGATAGTAACGAGATGGCACCTCTGCTCCCCCACTTGAGTGGTTTCAGAGAAAGCCAGCTAAAACAAGGTTTAAATAAGATCGAGGGTTGCATAACATAGTATGAAAATGTTCAGATTTCAACTGAAAATCACTCATCATACCAAAATCCCACTGTCACCACTCTTATTCCACATAGGCTGGAAGATCTATCCAGTGAAATAATACAAGAAAAGGAAATAAAAGGAGTACAGATCAGACAGGAAGAAATAAAACTATTTGCAGGTGAAATGATTGCCTACTTAGAAAATACCAAGGATTTACCAAAAAAAGTCCTAAAACTAATATGTGAGTTTAGCAGTGTCACAGGATATACAAAGATTAATTATGTTTCTATACACTAGCAATAAACACATGAACACTGAAATTGAAAATACAGTATATTTAATATCCCTTCAAAAAATACAAAATAATTAGGTATAAATCAAACAAAATATATACAAGACTTGTATGCTGAAAACTACAAAACTCTGATGAAAGAAATCAAAGGAAATATAAATAGAGAAACAGTGTTCATGGATTGGAAGAGTCAACACAATAATGATGACAGTTCTTCCCAAATTGATATACAGGTTTAATGTAATTCCTATCAAAATCCCAGCAAGATTTTATAGTTGTAGACAAAATTAATTTAAAATTTATGTGGAAAGGCCAAGCCAATAGAATATCAAAAAATTATAAACTAGGAAGAATCAGCCTACCCAATTTTAAGATTAATTATATAGCTCCAATAATTAAGATCATGTGGTGTTGATAGAGAAAAACACATAGATCAGTGGAACAGAAGAGGGAACTCAGAAATAGATCAACGAAAATATGTCCAACTGAATTGGACAAAGATGCAAAGCAATTTAGAGAAGGAAAGATAGCTTGTTCAGTAAGTGGTAACAAGGAGACTTGACTTTGGGGTGATAAGCACACAATACAATACGCAGATAATGTATTATAGAATTGTACACCTGAAACCTATATATAGTAAAATTTATCATTTCTTCTCATCTTCAGGAAAGCCATTAGTGAAAACGTCACGAATGACTGTGATCAACACCAAGGAGCCTGCCATCACAGTGGATATAGGCAGCACCATCAAAACAGTGCAAGGAGTGAATGTGACAATTAATTGCCAAGTTGCAGGTGAGAAATTCATTTATGTGTTAATTCATTTGTTCAAATATTAATGGAGCCCTGTGCTAAGATGGGGATACAAAGATAAACATAAATTCTGTTCTCAGGGATTCGGGGATAGTAGGAAAGGCATGAACCTCAGTCACTCTGAAACTGGAAAGTGCTGTGGAAGTTTAGAGGAGGAAACATGAATTCTGACTGCAACAGATGAGATAGAAGAGGTGGATTTTTTATCAGCCTTGCATACTGGTAGAAAGTGGACATGCAAAGATGGGGGCAAAGAGTATTCCAAGAAGACACAAGAGTATGAGAAAATTCATGGAAGTAAGAAAGCCTCAGGACTACAAAAGAACAGTGTGTGCTTTGGTCTGACTGGAGCCCAGAGGGCAGAAGTGGTGTGGAGGGGCTTAAACTTTAGCAAGGTGGGCTGCAACTGCACATGGGAGACCTCGAGTGCTTGGCCAAGGAGTTTAAACAAAGGCAGATAGAGAGTGATGTTAAGGAGCCATACTTCCAGAGGAGTAAGCTGCCAGCAGTGCATGAAATAGACTGAAGAAAGGAAATACTAGAACAGAGCAGCCAGTTAAGAAGCCATCATAGTAGTTTAGAGGAGAGGTAGTGGGGCCCTGAACTCAGAGCAGTGGTGGTGGAAAGGTAAGGAGTGGGTGGCAGAGATAAGACCAACAAGAACCTTGAGCCTGCTCACACCAGAAGGGAGTAGGAGTCATTAACAAAAATAGCCAGCACTGTTAGGAGTTGTGAGATAGGCGTTGCCCTTGGGTTGGCTTTGCAAGGTCAGAGGCCTATAGGGACCAGAAGGTCACAGGGAAGTGGAGGAGTAGTGGACAATAGGGCATGGTGGTATGCTCTGTGTAAAGGTATTTGCCTTCAATTAAAAAACAAAAAAACAGCAACAAAGCCCAGCAGCTAATTGTCCCTTCTTGTGGACCAAAGTTTGTGCTGTCTGCCCTGTTTCTCATACCACAATGCAAAGAAGCAATGAATGGCTCTTGTGCAGTCCCTCGATTGCTGTCCTCATCAGATATCCCCTACTCTGACACACCCCAACCCAGGCTCCCCAGTCATACCCTGTGTGCAGAGTGGACAGGCAGGAAATGTTCTGATAGCTCCAGGAAACCAGCAATATAGCAGCAGCTATGTAAAGCTTCCTTTGGCCTGCACATCCAACCTCATCAGTGAAATCTTTTAGAACCAAATCCCTTCAGGCCTGGTGCTACCAAATGGGGAGCAAGATAAAACCCCTGACAGGGCTTTCCATGAATGAGCTGTCCCTTTGTGCAGGGACTGGTGGTGCAGGTGGGACCCTCTGTACAGAACTGTCACTCCCCACCTGATCACTGTGAACATAGTCCTTGGAAACAGAACATTGACTAGAGGTATAACGGACTATGTTGGGTCTCCTCTTGAGAGTTGGAGGAAAAAATGGAGAGCAAAGGCAGCAAAACAAGGAATTGGGCACTTAAAGAAGATTGAGAGACCCAGAATTCAGGTGAGGAAGTACTTACCATGGGGAGCTCAGGACACTAAAACCAGCTTTGGCCAACTCTCCTTGCAGCCTGGGGCCCTGTCCCTCGTTCATCCAGAGACCAGATCTAGGCAACCTTATAATGAGATCTTAGGTTGTGATATCCAGTTTGTGCCTGGCCATGCACATTAAATTCTCTGTTTTTATTCATAGAACCATTTGTGTTAATCATAGTTAACTAAAATAAATCTGTGTGTCTCTGTCATTATTGCTTTTATTAAGTAAAACATTTTTTCAAAGTGGGTAAGAAAGCCTGCTACTTTTTTCCAAATTCTTTTTATTTCCAATTACAGTTGACATTCAGTATTATTTTGTATTAGTTTCAGGTGTGCAGCATAGTGGTTAGACAATCGTATACTTTACGAAGCGGTCCCCCCCACACTAATATTTCAAGTACCTACCTGGCACCATACATACTTATTAAAATATTATTGACTGTATTCCCTATACAGTACTTTACATTCCCATGACTATTTTGTGACTACCAACTTGTACTTTTTAATTCCTTCACCTTTTTCACCCAGTCCCCCAAGCCCCTTTAGATTATACAGTTGTTCCATGAATTTACTGGACAAAAAAAGCGTCCTTTAGCTGAGTCTCCAGTCACAATACTTTCCACCGTAATGCTAAGTGGCAGAAGGAACTACTTTTATTTTGCTGCTATAAGTGGCTCTTACAGCTCTTATGACATAATTTTAATGGCTATATAATCATCTATTTTAAGAATATTACATAGTTTACATAGAGTGACTCATGTCCTTACATGTTTGAGTTGTTAGTAGTTTTTCATTAGATAGCTTTTTGCACACATATGCTTTCAACTTGTAAAATGCAGCCTCATATATGCTTCCCAACCCTTAAACATAAAAAGCATTAGGCAATGAGTATGCTGAGGCTTTTTCTTGAAAAATGACCCAATTTATTGTACCACCCCCCATTTGTGTTCTCTATTTAAGAAGAGTTCAGAAAACTGAGTAGAAGACAAAGGTTTGGGGGAGGAGAGAATGTTTTAGTCATTGGGAATAGAATGTGCAAAGGGCCTGAGGTAGAAAGAGCATGCTGCATCTGAAGGAGTGAAATATGGCTAGTGTGGCTGTAATATAGAGAACAGAGAAGAAAGTGTCATGACGTATGGCTGGGAGGTTGGGAGAGAGTAGGCAGGAGCTAGACCTTACATGCTCTCATAGATTATGGTACATTTTGGGATTTTATCCTAAGAGCAAGGGAAGCTTTTAAAGGACTTAGGAGATAAAGTTATCAGGATTCGTGATGCAGAAATAACTAGTTGAGGAGTCAACATTGGGCAGTATGTTAGGGTAGGCTAAACTCTGGTAACACATAGACCCCCAAATGTATAATGACACAAACACAATACAAGTATATTTTTGCTTCCTTGAGAGTCTAAAGAGTATTCCTGGTCAGCTAGAGTCACAGTCATTAGGGTCATAGAATGCTGATGGCTCTGTTACCTTGAACACATGCCTTCCAAGGCCTCCCTGCTGGTTATCTCTAGCCTGCCAACCAGAAGAGGGGAAAACAAAGTGCAGAGAATGGCCAGGAAGGTTTTTAAGGGCCATACCTGGAAGTAGCATACACTACTTTTCACATTCCCTCCTAGTCACATGGCTACTCACAGCTACAAGGGATGGTAGGCTGTGTAGCTTAGCTGGGTAGAAGGAAATTGGTTCTGTGAACAGCTATCAGTGACTGCACAGTCAGTATGGAGAAATTGGAAGGCGAAAAGCCTCCTTTCCAGACTCCCATTGTTTTTTAGAATTGCCAAGACTGACATGTAAGTTACTGTATCCTTTCCTTGGCTTGTACCAGGCCATCAAACTTACCATGTCAGGTGCACCTTTCAGTGGACACCCACCTTGAGATGTTGACAGGCTGCCATGGTGCAAGCAGCCTTCCAAATATAACAAGTAGTCTAGTTAACAAGAATATCCTGTCTGAGTTTATAAAAAGAATATTATAACATCACCCTACATGGCAGCTCCGTGGAGATTAAAGGCACTAATCCTCATAATCATATCAAATTACAACGCAATTTGGCCAGACTCATTTATTGATTCTTTCAAGTGACAGGGAGGGCATTGTATTGTTGATAAGATATGCCACAAAGGGGGAAAGTAAAGGTAGGGAGCCCAGAGTATGAAGCCTGACCAAGAAACTTGTCAACAGCATAGCTGTGGTCTTTGTTCTGTGGTTGGGTCTATTTTCTGTCATTTTGCAGACATTTCTGTCTGTAGAATATGCTGTCACATCACAACAGGCTAGAAAAAAATTTCCCACAACCTGACCAAGCTTCTCAGCAAGAAGAGAGCTGGCAAGGCCGGCACAGGTGGATTCAAGAAACCTCCCTCCTAACAATATCTTGGTATTACAATTACAGCAGAAAGGTTAATTCTGAAAGTAGAAAGTTCTTAAGGATTTGATACCAGAAATAACTGGCAGCGATTCAGATCCTCTCTCAGGAGTCAGTCTAATATAATGCAGACAGCATTAAGTACACCAGGACCTTGAATAATGTCATTTCATTCAATGTTGTTTTGTTATAATGTTGATGAAATGCCATAGAAACCTCTCGTTTATATCATTTAGTCTATGGTAAAATTGATTTCTTTATACCTTTCTTAGCTTATAGTCTCAGAACCTATTGATGATGTTAAGTGAGGACTTTGTACTTGTTAAGATGGGAATCTGGCATCAAGTGTATGAGTTTGGCACCTAGGCATTTGTAGGTCTCTGACTGGCTGGGGGCTAAGGAGGGGCAGACAGGCTTTGTCCCCATATAACTGTAATCATACAGGGATCCAAACTAATGTGACTTTTGGCAGATTTATCTAATCTCTTTGAGTCCCACTTTTCTCATGTGTAAAATGGAGTTAATAATAGTCCTCATAGGATCATTGTGACAAAGTGATGACGTTTATAAAATATTTGGCTCATAGTAAATGTTCTCTCTCCCTCTAACATATTCAGGATATTTTTGCATAGCTCCTGACCTCTGTGCACCCTGGTATCTAGGCATTCTGAACGTCAGTATTAGGCATGTGTTTCAAACCTTTTTGAGGGACTCTGGCACATGTGAGACCCAGTGGAGTCTTCTAAAGCATCATTGTCATCTCTGGAGAGAAAAAGAAAAAAAGGCTTTATAATGCCCCACTTATTTTTCCTGTTCCCTTATTCCAACTCTATTTGTAATATGTCAGAGCCAGTCATGGAAGGACTGGATATTTCAAAGCATCTTTCTGGTGTCATTCTCTGCCTAAGGCCTGTAGTCTAAGACAGGAATCCCCCAAATGTGGCACCAGCAGTGACACCTCCATCTTTGCAAGCTCATGATGCAGGTACCTAATAAATATATTAGAACGATTCCTACATAATTTCTCTTCCCTTGCCACTGCTGTCAACTCCCATAGTTCCAGTTTACAGAGACTGAAGGTTACTTCCTTCTACCCTTTGCTTTCCCGAGCATTTCCATTTCTCCCATGGGCCTGAGGAATTGAGCCCTTCCAGTAAACAGACCCGATTTCATGAGGGCAGGAGGCAAAGAGGGAGGGAGGGGAGAGAAGAGGCTTACACCACTGCCTGGGAAGTGAGAAATGGCTCCAGGTCCCTCCATCCTGGGGTTATCTCCCTCTCCTCCCCTCTCTTCCCCTCTCCTCCCCTCTCCTCCCCTCTCTTCCCCTCTCCTCCCCTCTCCTCCCCCTCCTCCCCTCTCTTCCCCTCTCCTCTCCTTTCCTCTCCTCCCTTCTCCCCTCCCCTCTTGCCTCTCTCTGCCTCTGGCTGCCCTGCAGGAGCTCAGGTCCCAGCACCCAGAGGAGGACACACTGGTAAGCAGCAGGGCGCCTAGCTGCAGGAGCTGCCATGTTACACAGAGAGTCCTGCGAATGCTGGCTCTGGGAACACACGCAGCAGCTCGTCTCCACGAGGCACAGTCACAGAGAGAATATTCGCTCCCTGCTCACTGAGCCAGCATGCTTTTGTGGGTGGAACTGAAGGTCCACTTAATCCACTTCTCTTACTCTGCCTCCTGCTCCCAAGGGGCCTTGGTTCCTATTAGGCATCGTATGCGTGCTGCCCACAGCCGTCCTCAAAAGAAGGTGCCAGCCACCGTGCTACATACAAGCCATTCATTACAAGGAAAATACTTGTAGAAAATATGTTTGGACCTCTGTTTTTCTTGGGGAGAGAAATGACTGAGGGTATTTGCTGCAACTTACTTTTCAGAGACTTTCTCTGGAATGCTATGCTTTTATTTTTAATACATAAAAGCTGAGCTCAGGGTCCAAAGTCCACACTGGCATGGCCGGGCATCACTATGCTCTTGCTCTCCCTTGTGGTTCTGCCATAAGAAATCAGCTTTCCTGCCTCTCACCAGCATCTTCTGTCCAGGTGTCTTTAAAGATGATGCCAGCCTGGCCCCTCTCATGCACCTGAGCATCAAGTGTCACCATGTGTGCCTCTCCCTGATGGATCAGGGGTGCAGTGTCCAAGTCTCCACTCTCTCTCAGCAGCCCTGCCTCCATCTTCCAGCCAGTGTGTAGGTCCCTAGGGATTCACAATGAATTATGGGCCATATAAATAAAAGAGAAGACCAGAGTCACTTCTGTGTTCCCCATAACAGGGAGAAAGGGCTCACAGATTGGCCAAACACTTAGGCCACCACTCCAGGCCTGAAGAACCCCACCTGAGGCAGCAGAGCAGCTGGGATAACAGTGAGTTCACACAGGCAGCTCACCATTAGTAAGGGAGCATGAGACCACCCTCCCGCCCTCCCGCCCCACATCACTTTCTCCACTGGGCTCGGGAACAGCAAGTGCTCCAGGGCTCCAGCTGGGTGAGGTAGAGTAGACTGCAGGTAAATTTTGTTCGTCAGATTCAAGGACAAGGAACAGCTACACAGGTAACTCCTTGAAGGTGTTTGCATCCTAAATAGGAGGCTGCCCATTAAGGGCAAAATCCAGCCCCAACTCATGGAAAGCACAGGACGAAAGGTCTGGCCCTTTGACTAGTCCTGGTTTGCCCCTGTTTACCAGGATTTGATATTCTAAATATACCCTGAATATATGCCCAAGAATTCTATGAGTAAACTTTGTGAGCTGGGCCAGCAGGCTAGGAGGTACAAGGGATGGAGCTTTCTGTTCCCTGGACACCTGCAAATTAATACCACAGACTTTCTGACTCCCAACTCACTCAGAGCTCAGCCTGCTACAGAACCTTCTATGCAGACCATCTCAGAAGGCTTGTGCTAAGCTGAGGCCTGTTTATTAGCATGTCCACCACAAGGAAACTTCCTAAGGAATTAAGGCAGTCCCCTGGTCTTAATCTACTCAGGCTGCTATTACAGAATACCATATACTGGGTGGCTTAAACAATAGAAGGTTACCTCTCATGATTCTGGAGGCTCCATTCAGTACCTGTTGAAAACTCTCTTCCTGGTTTGCAGACAGCTATCTTCTTGCTATGTCTTCACCTGGCAGAGAATACTAGCTCTCTAGTCTTTTCTTACAAGGGCTCTAATCCCGTCATGAGGACCCTCCCCATCATGACCTCCAAAGGCCCCCTCCAAATACCATTACGCTGGGGTTAGGGCTTCAGCATATCAGTTTGTGGGAACATGAGCATTCAGTCTATAACCCACTAGAGGGCTTCCTAAATGAAGTATACAGTCCCAATTCATGCACACAACCTCCCCAGCTCTTCCTCACAGACAGTAAACTGGGACTGAGGAGACAGCAGAGTACTTTCTTCCTGTCTTTCTTTCTCTATGGTGGCTACTGATACCATAGTTCCGTGTTCTCTTGTTCTAAGAAAATACACAGGCTTCAAAATACAGCCATGTTTTCTTCGTGTAGTCTCAGCTCTGGTAAGGATCTAGCAGCTTTCCTTTGCTTCATGAATGCATTAATATTCTGTGGCTTTTCATGTTTTACTGAAGTGTAATATCTCTACAGAAAAGTGCACATATCATACAGGTGCCAAACTCACCAAACCAGCACCTGGGTCAAAAAATAGCACTACCGGCAACCAAGCCCTGTGTCCCTCCCTCTGTCACAACCCCTCCCCATTCACGCCACCTCTCAGAGGAACCATTACCCTGACTACTAGCAGCATAGACTGATGTTACCGGTGTTTGTTTTTTACTCACAGAAAGGAAATCATACAGTATGTATTCTTCTATGTCTGACTTTCTCAACATTTTGTTTCATGTAGTCATCTATCATTCATATTCACTGAGGGATCTAGGTTTGGTTGTTATATTTTTATAATAGATTTTCTCCAAGGAATCTTTGTATTCTCCTTCCACCTGGGAAATGCCCTTTCCCAGCTACATGCTTTCTCCTCTTTAACTGGTCTCCCTCTTCCTGCCTCATCAGCATAGGTTGGAAAAGTCACATCTCCAGACAACGGACAGGGCTGAGGCATTATTTAGTTTGGCCAAAGGCTGGTAGAAGACTCCTAGGCAGACGCTTCCTGCCCAGTGCCCTCTAAGAGGCTATAAATGCCTCCAGAGTCACCTGAACATGTTTGGCTGATGAGTATTTTTTTCTTCCTAGGTGTGCCTGAAGCTGAAATCACTTGGTTCAGGAATAAAAGCAAACTGGGCTCCTCTCACCATCTGCACGAGGGATCCTTGCTACTCACAGACGTGTCCTCCTCGGATCAGGGCCTGTACTCCTGCAGGGCAGCCAACGTGCATGGAGAGCTGACTGAGAACACCCAGCTTCTGATCCTAGGTAAACACCTCCAGGATGACTGCCCCTGGTGGACCCCGTTGGGGGTGACTAACCCCCTCCACCTCCTCTTTTCCCTGTTCTAATTAAGTACATAAAGGTAAAATCAATATCCCTTCCCTTCTTCCCACCTAGGGCCTTCTAATAGAAAGAATACATACTTTAGGGCCAGGCAGACATCAGTTTGAACCCTGGCTCTACCACTTATTCACTGTGTGACCTTGAGCAAGTTACCTAACCTTGTTTAGATGCTGATCTCTGTATGGAGACCTGCAAAACAAGAATTGCCCACATTGATGGAGGGGGTGGGGGGGAGCATTTCAAATAGAGGTAACAAAAGTAAAGCATTTATTCTTAACTTCTGTGTTAAGGACTTCTTTGAGAATCAGATGAAAACTGTAGACTACCCCCTCCAGAAAAATCCATACATGTAAAATTTTGTATGTAATTTAAGGAAGTTCATAGTCTAGTCCACATGAAGCCCACACACGTACCCTCCTGTCTTAGTCCATTCAGACTGCTATAACAAAATATCACACACTGGGTAACTTATAAACAACAGAAATGTATTATTTTTCTCTTTTTTCCCTTACACTTCTAGAAGCTGGAAATCCAGGATCAGATGCCAGCATGGTCAGGGTCTGGGGAAAGCCCTCTTCTGGGCTGCAGACTGCCTGATTTTTGCTGTGTTCTCATTTGATGGAGATAAGCCAACTCCCTGGGGTCTCTTCTTTAAGGGCACTAATCCCCTTATGACATAATCACCTCCCAAAGTCCCGACTATCTAATATTATCACTTTGGGGGGTTAGGATTCCACCGTATGAATTTGAGGGGACATAAACATTCAGGCTAGAGTACTCCCAAGCATTAAAAACTCCTGATTAAAAAAGAGTCTATCACAGTTCCTGGCATAAAATAGGTGTTTAAAATGAGCAACAATTGCTTGGACACCATCCATCACTTGCTGTTGCCCAATGCTGGACTCAGCCTCATTGTAAACTACAGCCCTTTGTCCCTGGCTAAGGACACTCTGTGTCTCTTCCCCGAAGAGCCTGGGAGTTGGTGGAATAGAATAAAAATGTTTGTGTTTATCTTACTTTTTTTAAAAAGGCAATTATTAAAGTACTAAGAAAAAAGAAATCTGAACAATATGACTAATTACACACCATCGCTTCCTTAGGGAAAAATAATTAAACATTATACTTGCTCCACACCCCAAGTTGATGATAAACCAAAGCATGGGATCTCTAGCCCCTGCCAGCTCAGGTTTCAGAGAGGCTCAGACAGCTTTTCGTCTCACCAGTGCCTCAGTAAACCTCCAGTCTTAGGAAGTCACAAAATCAGCTCAGTGAAGGCTCTCATTTATTTTGTGTTGGGCTGAGCTGCGAGTCTGCAGCCAGGGCCCAGAGACTGTTGCCCTACACTGAGTTATGGTGCTTACTGGGGTTTTCTCCCCCCTAAGAACCCTTCCTTGTTGCCTCTGCTTACAGAGATGAAAGCCTAGGATGTGTAGCTGCTACTGCAGCTTTGCCAATGAAGTGTGTCTATTCCGGGAGCCAATCCTTGGAGCATTTCAATGCTAATGCGGTGTGACTGTGAACACGGGGCTTGAAGAGCATGTCTTCCCATTTTAATCAAACTTGATGAGAAAAAAATCACTATTTAGGCTCTTAAGTTTAGGGCTTTTCTTGATCTCAAATCTTGGTTTGTTAGTTATATAGGTAGTTTATGAACATAGAAGTAGTATTTTTTTTTAACAGCCAAAAATGTGGCTTAATTTTTAAATCAGGGATTTTGTGTAGAAAGCTGCGGTTTTATGCCAAGTTCTGTGATTCAACCTGTAGCATGGAGACTTGAAGTGTAAAGAGACAGAATTTTATTCATTTATTCAGATAGCCATTGGATGAATATTCATTAAGTGTTGCCTCTAAGTTACATGTAGGATAAATATAAGAGGTGACCTCTGACCTTGGAAAATTGAGTTTCCCTTGGAAGATTAAATGGGCATGCACCAAAAAAGAATATGATAGAAGCCGTGAGGACATTAGAAGGTGTCAGCATTTGGCCCAAGGAGATCTGATGGGTTTGGAGCTTGGACATAGCCTAACTCTTTAAACTGTTAGTAAGTAAGCATAGGCTTCCTGAGTTTTAATATTCTTAAAGAAACGTTCAATTGCAATATTGAGGGAATTGAGTTTCCCTCAATATTCAATACTCAATTTCAATGTTCTTAAGGGAATGCTAAAAAGGAAGAGAGTCTAGGTTTGAGTAAACTGCCACCATCAATTCCTTAAACCATGGTGTTTGACAGTGGAAAGAAATCTTGTAAATGATGTGCTCTGTTTCATAGATGAGGAAACTAAGTCTCAGAAGGATTTAGTAACTTGCCCAAGTTAATGAATGACAGAGCCACAGCTCAAAGCAAGGGTTCCTGAACCCAAACATGATGTTTTTACTCTTATTTCATATAAAGAATATTTTAAGTTATTTATATGTAATGTATATATATTTAAATGTCTTTATAATTTAAAATTATATGTATAAATATTATCTATAAATCAAGATCATCATTGTTTTGTGTACACAATGGTCTTTTGCAGTCTGAGGCAGAGTAGACAGAAGTATGTTTCTGAAGTGAACTCTGGCACCATTGTGACTTATTTGTCATACCTAACAAGTACCTAACAAGGTGACAAACATATAGTAGGCCCTCACTGAACACTGTTGAAATAACCGTCCCATTTTAATCAAACACAAGAACAATACTCCTGTTCCTCTTCCCGCTCCAACAAGAGCTCTGGAAGAAAAGGTGGGATTGAGCCCTGGGAGTGTGAATTGTGGTGCATCAGGAGATGCTGGAAGAGGGGAGCAGCCTCTTGTGCTTTCCCAAGGGAACCTGGGGTCATCCTGCCACTAGATTCAGTAGGTGTTTGCCTCTTTGTCCAGTGGAAATGGCAAGCAAGCCACTATATTTCCCATTGTTGTCACCTTGGCTCTGGTTAACTGTGACCCCTGCTGACTTCAGCCCTGACTCCATATCAGAGTTTAAATAGCAAATTATCCCTATCCTGCTTGTCTGACCTATTGGGCATGAAAAATTCACACCACAAAGCAAGTTAACTTAGCAACTTCATAAATGGACCTTTTTCCTCATAGAAAAAGCCCACTCATAGGCACCTTTTAAATAAGAATTCCTGTGGTATATCCCTATCTTTGGGGACAATGATAAAGTGCCTTCTAAAGGATGTTTGAAAAAAATGAAAACCATTTAGCATGGGACTTGACATTGAGTAAATACTGAAGAAGTGTTGGCTTCTTAAAAGTATCTTTAGAATAAGGTTTAATGTACCTACACATTTATAGGGGCCCCACGGTACTGTGGTATAAAGTGGTATTAGTAAGGAGCTCCTGACATCTATCTACATGCCTGATTCTTATTACTGACCTTATTGATGCAAGCATCAAATGTTAAGTTTGAAATTCAGACTTAATTTGATAGGCACACCTTTTCTACAGGAAAAATGATGTTAAAAGGCAACAAGAGTAATGCCTGCCTTACACATAGGCACACTCACATGCATGCTCACCTCTCTTTCTTTCCTTAATACAGCCTTCATGCTTTAATCTGCCTGATTCACCATCTGCCTTCTCACAGATCCCCCCCAAGTCCCCACGCAGTTGGAAGATATCAGAGCCTTGCTTTCAGCCACTGGACCGAACCTTCCTTCAGTGCTGATGTCTCCTCTGGGAACACAGCTGGTCCTGGATCCTGGGAATTCCGCACTCCTTGGTGAGTCCAACCCTCTGGAACATTGGGCAGAAATCCAGGGCTGGACAGGATTTATGGATGGGTGACTGCTTGCAGGTGGGAAAGAGGCAGCAGTGGGGGGTGGCCAACAGGAAATCACTAAATTGCCTACAGAATCCAGACTCAACCAGTGGAAACTTGGCTGACTTTCCATATGAGGTGAGTGCAGTTCTTAGTCTGGACTCTAGCTTGTCTAGATTCCAATGTGGCTTCTTTCTGAATCCTCTTGGGCTGATTCCACAGTCCAGGTCCTCTACATCAAACTGACTTTGCTGAACAATGAGTAAAGAACAGCTTCTGTATCTCCTCTCTTCTTGCCAACCATACCCCAGTATTCCCCATGATTTCCTCCCAACTAAACTAGAACTATAATCAGCTTTCAAAGAGAAAAATGAAAAATATCAGTATCCCCCAAAAGCCAGACAGTTCTATTAAAGCCAGCCTTCTTTAGGTAGGGCCTAAACCCAACCCAGATAGACTCCTCAAACCAAGTGTTTAAATAACTTCATCAGGTACAACTTCCCTGGCATCTGTCATTGGGGCCTTCACCAAGTTAATGCCCACATGGCTGGTGCCCACTGGTAATAGAAAGTTGTACAGGGACATCCAAGTCCTGGGTCCCTCATCTGTGAATCATGGAAATGCCAGAGGAACCTCTGCATTCCCAACATGACCTCTGGAGATGGTTAAGGTGGAGGAGAAGAATTCTTCTGCCTTCAAAAACCTAAAAAAAAAAAAAAGGGCCTACAAAATGAAAGAAAATCTTCATGCTAACTCTATGTGGTCCCAAATATTGGTAATAGCAGCTAGAATTATTCCTTTGGCTCAAAGCTAAGTTTCTGTACCCTTCTCCCCATCAACTAGCAAGGACCAGGAGGCCAGTGAGTTCCCAGTCATACTGCTGCTGATTTATCAACAGGGCCATGGGGTCTGGTATCTTTAGGATTACAGCACAGAAAGATTACCTTCAGTCTTCATTCTCGTCTGAAATTAGCAGACTACTCACAGCAATTGGGCATATGGACAAGGCTTCTGATTTTTGTGTTTCTGATCTGGGTAAAAATAAGACACAGATATAGTAATGAGAAGCCCTTTTTGTTTCCCATAACTTACAAAGCTTGGCATTGAGTTTTTTCATATCATGTTGATTAGAGTGCATTGAGGTTGCAGACTGCTTATTTTCTTTGCCTTATAAATGGTAAACTTATTCTGAATTAAATGTGTACATTGTAAACTTTTTTATTTTAGACTCATCACTATGAGAAATTGTCATAACTTTTCATCAGAGCCCAGTCACTGGCAGGGTGTACAGCAAGTATTTAAGTTCAATAACTCTTGGGTCACTCGGGTGCCATTCAGCATGCTGGGAAAGTTAACCTGCTCATATTTTTCTTTCTCCCTTATTCGGGAATAATATTTTGTCTCATCGTAGCCATGGGCAATAAGAATTTATTGTGCTCTATGCTGCTGCATTTCATTGGTAGTTTATGCTGCTTTGTTACCTTAGACTGGTATTTAAATCTAACAGTTAAGAGATACCTTAATATACCAGTTCACATCCACACTGCTCCATTTGAGTGAGACAGCAAGTCAATGTCCATAAAGTCCCTGAATGTAACAGCATGGGTAAAATGGGCCCTAGTGGTGGATGTCACTGTCTTGCCAGCAGTATAGAGCCAGGAGAAGTCTATGTGGAATTATGGAATTAGGGAATGATGTCAAGTTTCAGGACCCTGAGATAGGTCTTTAGAAACAGACCAGGGCCTCACTGTCATGCTTTGGAGCTGAGCACAGAGGGATTGATGGGACTCCAGTCGGCAGAAAGGAGGGAAATAGGCATGCAAGGCAAAGAAGATGCTACAAGCCCAGAGACAGAAATGTGTGGGATATATATCGGTGTCTGCTCAGTAACAGCTATAACATACCACTGCTTTAAAACAGGACGGGCGGCCAAACTGAGATAGAAACTAGGCCATCAAAAGGAGCAAGCCTCAGCTAGAGCTTGTCCACTCAGATTTGGCTTGGACTCCCCCCCAAGATTTCTGATAACCTCCCCCATCTCGAACCTCCCAGCTGTTGACTCATCCTGATCTTTTAATCCAGTTACTTCCATTTGGACCAGCCCCCATCTCTGGCTCCTGTTGGTGGCCCTTTTAGATCAGAGTGTGTGCCCTGGGTACAAGAAATAGGTCAGGGAGGTGATTCTGTGTATGGTTGCTGAACATTAAATGGTGTCGAATTGTGGAGGACCTTGATTATTAGACTAAGGAAGTAGATTTACTATGTGGAAAATGGGGACAGACTTTTAGAGGGCTTTTAAGTAGGAGAATGTAGTAATAGTAATGTTTAAAAGAATCTGACATCTGTAAGAGTAACCAAGAGTGGGAGACATTTAATGAGGGTAACAGATACTCTAGACAAGAATGGAGATAAGTAGCAAATATACTGTTACTCGCCCCTTCCACACCTAAGACATCGCTGATCAATCTTGACATTCTTTCCACTTAGTCCAGGCTCTGCCAAGGGAATTTATTTCAACATGCCCACCAAGCGTGGTGGCAGTTGGCATACAGGATGAAAGCCATTTGCCAACCCTGTTGTAGCCAGTGAATGGCAAGATTCCTGTGTATGTATTTTTCCCATTTACATTGTAGGTTGGCTGCAATAGATTCAGAGAACTTCATGGTTCTGTGGCACAGGGACAATTATTCATGGACCTTGATTCTCATGTTTTCGTGGCGAGAAGGGAGCAAGGGATATTTGGAATTTTTTTTAAAGACCTATCATATATCAGAGCTAACTCTTCTCCATTAAGACTCACATGTTGAGATCCCCAGTAGGTGAGTCTGTTCCAGAAATGATTATTTGGTTATCAGATATTCTGGCATTGATATCACTTCAAGCCACTGCTGCAACTTTCAAGAAGGAAGGTTGACTAAGCGACATGTGCATGGGTCTATCTGGGTCTCACTTTCCATAACTGTAAACAAAGACCTGGGACTGGTGGGTCCATTGTTGCTCTCACACTCTTTGCTATATGACATAGACATGGAAAATGCCCAGTGGAGGCTTTGCCGTGCAGAGTGGGCCCAACCTAACTGGATCTATTATCTAGGCAAGATAAGTGTTACTTCTTTGTCCCTGTTTTACAGCTGTCCTTCCTGCAGGGAGGCCTAAACTGTGCCAACTGTTCTAGAGGTCAAGGCCGATGCCCCCATCCTTAGTGGTCCGGGTCCAGGTCTGGTGGCAGGGCTCCATTTTTAGAACAGCTGTAGCTCAGGCTCCCTGCAGCACCCACACCTTTTTGCAGCCTTCTGTTAAATATTTTTTAGCCATTGAGGCCCAAGACTAATATTTTTCACAGTGTCATTTATAGGGTATTAGCACTGATATATTTTGAAAAAGAACTTTTATTGGAATTTTTATTATAAGAGCTTTACATACTTATTGTAAAATAATTAAAAGATTAACCAGAGAACTTATATGCATAAATGCATAGCCCATGGACACAGACAATAGTGTGGTAAAGGCCTGGGGAAGGGAGGGGTTGGGTGAGAGTAGAGTGGAGGAGGTCATTGGGGGGAAAGGGGAAGATATCTATAATACTTTCAACAATAAAGATAATTTTTTAAAAAATAAAAGAATAGAAGCAAAAATATAATTATCTCTAATTACCTAGCTCAGAGATAAACAGTGCTGATGTATTTTTCCTAATCATTAATATACACATTATACATATATTTTGTCTAAAGTGAAATCATACTCTGTATACTGCCTGTAACTTTTTTCACTGAATGGTACAGTCATCTTTCCATGCCTCTAAATATTCTACAGTTTTAGCTTTGATGGCTGCATAGATAGGAGGTGCCATATCTTAATTCAACCTATTCTCAAATGTTGAACTTTTAGATTATTTCTTCTACTCACTTTGAGATTTGTTCTCCTTTTACTAGCTCCTTTAGGTATAAGGTTAGATTGTTTATTTGAGATTTTTTTTATTTCTTGGCTGTGTCCCACAGATTTTGGGTCGTTGTGTTTTCATTTTCATTTGTCTAAGGCATCTTTTGACTCCTTCCTTGATCTCATTGTTAACCCATTCATTGTTTAGTAGCATGTTCTTTAGCCTCAACATGTTTATGTGTGTTTTTCAGTTTTCTTCATGTAATTGATTTCTTGTTTCATAATATTGTGGTCAGAGAAAATGCTTGATATGATTTCAGTCTTCTTAAATTTACTGAGACTTGTTTTGTGGCCTAACATGTGGTCTGTTTGGAAAATGTTCTATGTGCACTTGGAAAGAATGTATTCAGATACTTTTGGGTGAAATGTCCTGAAAATATCAACTAAATGCATCTGGTTTAATGTGTCATTTAAGGCCACTGTTTCCTTGTTGATTTTTTTGTCTGGATGATGTATCCACTGATGTCATATTGGTGTTAAAGTCCCCTACTATGATGTATTACTGTTGATCTCTCCTTTTGTATATTTGCTTTATATATTTAGATGCTTCTATGGAGTTATATCCTCTTATTGGATTGATCCCTTTATATTATAAAAAACACCCTTCTTTGTCTCACAGCCTTTTGTTTAAAGTGTATTTTGTTTGATATAAGCATTGCTACCCTTTTTTTCCTTTCCACTTAGATGAAATATCTTTTACTATCCCTTACTTTTTATCTGTGTGTCCTTCCATCTGGAGTGAGTCTCTTGTAGGCAGCATATGTACAGATCTTGTTTTTATTTATCCATTCAGCCACCCTATGTCTTTTGATTGAAGCATTTAGTCCATTTACACGTAAAGCAATTATGGATAGGTGTGTACTTTTTGCCATTTTAATTGTTTTCTGATTGTTTTTTGAAGTTCTTCTCTGATCCTGATAATCATGTCCTAGAATTATTACATAGACACTTTCAAGAGATAATGTCTCCTGGGGTTAGCAAACTAAGCCCCATGGGCACAATCTAGTTCACTACTTGCTTTT